ATCGTTCACCAACTTGAGGAAGAAAATAAAAAGAAAGATAAGGAGATTTCTAATAAGGATAAGTTAATATCAGAATTCGATGAACGAGAGACAAAATTAAAAACCAGAATTCGTGAAATATCAAAATCAGCTAGCAATACCCCTAAAGCACAAGATTATACAACAAGATTAGTGGATGAAAATGAGCGACTTAAACGAGAAATAAATACAATAAAGACTAACCAAATAAATAGGATTAACAAAATAACACAGCAAAAAAATCATATTACTGACCTTCTTTGTCAGAATTTTGCTTTAGCATTATTAAGATATCGAGATAGATTAGAACTTACAAATACATGAGAGGCTTTACAAAATGTACAGGCATGGAATTTTAATAAAAATGAATCTGATTCCTATTCTGATGAAAATTCTTCAGATTTATATAATTTTGATTTAGACATGGCTACAATAGCAGAGTTAGCCGATGCTATAGACCTATCCCTAGCTGATACAACAATATGTAAAACCATTTTAACAAATCAAATTAAAAGAGCAACAAGGTCAATTCGACGTAAATATACTAACTTGCAACAAGACCTGGTGAATGTGCAATATGATCGTGATATATACAGGCAGGAGCGTGATCAAGCAGTGCTAGAGCGTGATCAGTTAAGAACTAATGCTCAAAACCAAGTAAACAGAATGATAAATAATATAGCAAGAAAGCAGACCTGTATTGGTGAATTGCTAGGAGAAAACCTAGCCCTTCAGCTAATATATCAAAGGTGCAAAGCTGAGGCTGACTTGTCAGAATTCAATCGCGTCTGGGTATTTAATCGGTATCAAAAATGGAAGGCTCAAGAAATTAATTCTCGCCAGAATATTTTAAATTTAAATCAACAAATTTTTGCGCTACAGAATAATCCATACAATATGGCAGAAGCAAGACGTTTACCTACATTGAAATATGTATCTACCTTGTTAAATCCAATTCTACAATATATGGGTCAAATGCCACCTAGTGATTATTGTGATATGATTATACAGGTATGGGCACTTGCTATACCAAATATGATGGCTCTTGAAAATGCAAATGCTGGAGATTTTGATGATGCTGTCAAAGTCGAAATTATGAAAGGTAAAATGGCAGGAAAATATGCACCAGTACCACCTCAAAATAATTTTGTAAATCCAGCAGTTAATATTGATAGTCCAGATACTTTAAGAGCATGGTTAAATGCAAAATATCAACGAGAAACAGTTGGAACTAGCCAATCAGCTATTTTAAGATTATCTCAAGAAAGATTTCAACCTTTTGATAATCCCGATACCTATAAAACCCGAATTCGTCCACTATTATTAGGTGTAGCAGATGATGATGCACGAGTATTAGGAACTCTTAAAACTCATTTATCAGGTGATCGAGAACTTTATAGTTGGATGAGAAATGAAAATATAGCAGGTATTAATGAATTTTTCATTTTATTAAAAAATCTATGGCTTGAACATTCTAGTTTATATGTAGATCAAAACTCTGATCAAGCACAACCAAAGAAAAAATCATTAGCAAAGCAGAATGACAGTATTATATCACAATCTATAGTTTCACAACCAGTATTTCCCTCATATGATGAAATGCAAAAATCGTTTCAAGCTATGTTAGAAAAACAGAAGACTGAATCCAAGGCCGAGATTGAAAAATTGAAAACCGAATTCGAATCAAAAATGAGCCAGCAATCCAAAAAATCTCGCCCTCCAGTTCCACCCAAAGATCATGAACAAATACATGAATTTTATGCAGATCAGGGAGATCCTAGATGGTCAAATCTTTCTAGAGAGGAAGCACTACAATGGTTAGATAAAGCTTTTCCTCCACCCATAGCAAGTAAACCAGAACGATTACGTTCATCAAATCAAAATGCCAGAATAGATAGAATAGAGTCGAAAGTAAATGAAATCGGTCAAATGACATCTCAATTCAGGAGGATGATGCTTGATAACAAAAAACCCGTAGCTAAATCAAATTCAACATATCGATACTTCCCTCCTCTAATACCTTCCCAATCCCAATATGCATCTTCTGATTTGGATAATAATGAGGATGAAGAATGTGGATATAACGAGGAAGAGAATAGATGGCATGCTTCATCTCAGTTAGAAAAAAAAAACAGGCACTGGTAAATGAAAAAATGCTTCCAGAACTTAGTCAGCCTGAAACATATGATGAACTATTACCAAAGCTTTCACCGGCAATGCGTAAAATGTGTCAGTCTCATATAGTCCAGGAAAAAGAATCAAA